TCATATTGTCCTTGTTATGAGTCATTTTGGTTGACTCCTTGTATCTTGGAGCAAAACACTTGGGACATTCGTTGAGATCCTCAAACTCATTTCGATATAAAATGTAATCATTAACACAAGCATGTATCTTCTTGTAGCCCTCACCCATTGGAGACATCATTTTCTTCGCCTCATAAGTGGATGATGGCAATTCGTGTCCATCTGGAAGAAGTTCACCCAACAAACTTAGTAAAGACGTGAAACTTTCGTCACTTCACCCATTTGCTACTTTTAAATTGAACAATTCCAAAACCCCTTTCAAACGTGTAAACTTTGTACAACCAGGGTACAACGGGCATTTTGAGCTTCTTACTAAGTTTTCATACATATTGTTGGAATATAAATAATTGTTCCTGGGCCACAACCACAAGCTTGAGCTTTTGGTTGAGTTGGTTCCTAGACATGGTATCAGAGCCTTGATGACCAAGAGGTCACGAGTTCAAAACTCACCGCCGCCCAGAAAGCTTGAGCTTTTGGTTGAGTTGGTTCCTTAACATGGTATCGGAGCCTTGATGACCAAGAGGTCACGAGTTCAAAACTCACCGCCACCCAGTTTAAAAAAAATTAAAGTTTCACGTGCAAGGCTCAAAAAAAGACTACGCCTGCACGTGAGGAGGCGTGTTAGAATATAAATAACTGTTCCTGGGCCACAACCACAAGCTTGAGCTTTTGGTTGAGTTGGTTCCTTGACATGGTATCAGAGCCTTGATGACCAAGAGGTCACGAGTTCAAAACTCACCGCCACCCAGAAAGCTTGACCTTTTGGTTGAGTTGGTTCCTTGACATGGTATCGGAGCCTTGATGACCAAGAGGTCACGAGTTCAAAACTCACCGCCACCCAGAAAGCTTGAGCTTTTGGTTGAGTTGGTTCCTTGACACATATTACGCTCTTCATCAATGACGACTTGATCAAAAGGAACATCTTGAGTCGCCCCTAACTCATCTTCCATTTCAACCTCAAAACTGTGGATGTCGTGAATATCATCTTTGACTTGTTCATTATGAGTATAGCTAGAGCTGCAAGGATTTTCTAACTCTCCATGCCATTTCCATCGCAGGTATGTTGGGTCAAAACCCTTGCGATACACATGTAATCTTATATCTTTAACGCTATCAACCATAAAATGGTTGTGACATAAGTTACAAGGACAATATATCTTTTTTCCTTCTTTTGAATGTTTCTTTGCGAAACGAATAAACTCTTCCAAACCAGAACTAAACTCAAGTGATGTACGTGACATAAGAATCCAACTTCTATCCATAATATGAATTGCTAAGCGAGAAAGAAGGGAAAATGGTTGATCCATGCAAAACAATGCACAACAAAATTATTAACACTCATTTTATATATACACACAAACATATAAGAAATATAGGCAACACAATATTTTATTTCTTATGATGTAACAAAAATCCGGCTGCACTTCTTCATTATAGAAATGGTCCTTCTTTACACCATCCTAACCCATTCTTGAAATGTCACCCTCACTAGTAAATGTATTTCATTTTCTTTGACCTATCAAAATTTTGGCAGCATTTCCCAATGGTTCTCCAAGTGCACGATGTAATGAAATTACATATGCACCCGAAGAACACATTTAGGAAACGTCAAACCAAAAATGACTGAACAAAGAGAAAGAAATACATTCACTACCTAAGTGAGAGAAGCATTTCAAGAACAGCTCCAAACTGGGAGCTATTTAAAATTTACTCCTAATGAGTAAATTTTAAATGGGTACCTAGGTCGGTCAATATATGTTATTTCTATATTATAACATCTCAGATCATGTAGAATCAAACAAAAAGTAATTTAACAATCTATATTTGAAACACAATCTATATCACAATTCACATTCCAACTTAAACATAAACACAAACACAAAACCAATTCAAATATATAGGAAATTAAATATTAACCTAATGCAAAAATATATAAACAAATAATAGTATAATTAATTATTTAATTTTAAGTTTAAAAAATTAAAGAAAATACCTTAGAGGATGTGTGGGGTAGAGGAGGCTAGGGAAAACGACGGGGCAGTAGTGCCGGCGGTGAGGCAGCAGTGCCAGTGGGGCACGGGGCGGGGCAGCAGGGCCGGTGGCAGCAAGGGCGAGGTTGGCAACAGTAGGGCCGACGGCGAGGAGCGGCAACACCGAAAGTGAAGAGGACAACGGCGAGGCAAAATACGGCGAGGGCGACAACGAGGATGGTGACAACGGCGAAGGAGAGCGACGACGGGAATAAGGGTTTGGAGGGTTTTTTTTCAAAATTTTGTAAGGATAATGAATTGGAGGCCTTCTTTAACATAGTTATTTGCATCGGTTAATCCTAATAACCGATTCAAATAGTTATTTGAATCGGTTATTAAGAATAATCGATTCAAATGCTATTTACCCTTTTGAATCGGTTAGTCCTAATAACCGATTCAAATAACAACTAGTACGCGTTTTTTTTATTTAGATCGTTTGTTTTGCTGACCGATGGAAATGGGGGATCTATTTGGTCATTTTTGTAGTAGTGTCATAGTTAAAGCATCTCTGGGGACTGGGATCCTCTATACCAACATCTCTATTCCACTCCCCTATCACATAGTTAAAGCATTACCACATGTCCATTTTAATTTTCTATTTTTTTTTGTTCTTCTCCAATGCTCCCTAATCCAACCCCCTCCCACCCCTATTCAATTATAAACACAAACAAATTTAAAAATAAAATTACATAAAATATAGTCCAGTTTTATAGTCCAAATGAAATTAAAGCTTTGTTGTTTCAAATAATAATAAATCAAATAAGAATAGTATTTATGTTGAAAAGTATAAGAGTTCCATAGTTAGAAATAAAAATAAAAAAGCTTTTGTTTCACTTGGAGTATAATTTTATGTCTTACATTTGCTTGTGTTAATATTTGAATAATATTTAATATTTACATTGAAAAGTATTAATTAAGAAATTGAATATAAAATAACAAAGCTCTAATTTCATTTGGAGCAGAATACTTTTTATGTCTATATTTTTTAAAGATTTGTTTGATTTAAGAATTATTCATGCGATTTTTTTATATTATTCTTATTACAATTATTACTACTCCATATTATTTCATTATAATAATTAAAAAACTATATATATATATATATATATATATATATATATATATATATATATATATATATATATATATATATATATAGACACACACACAGATATTTGTTTTTCTTTTTTTACATGTAAAAATTTAATTTTTACTATATGGAGTATTAAATTTTACTTTCATTTTATTCATAAGAAATTATTAATATACAATTTTTTAATGATTTTTACTTTTTATTTTCTCATCTCATTTTTTTGAAAATTTTAAATTTTATTTTTATTTTTTGGATATATTATAGAATATCTTCTAAGAAAAATGATTTAAAAAATTTAATTTTCTTAACATCCAAGTCCAAATGCTACTCCACTTGGCTTTTCAAATTTTGGATTTTTGGATCAAAATGCCAAGTGAAAAAGTCATTAGCTAAACAATGCCTTTGACATTTTACTTAGTCCAAAAAACTAAACTTAATCAAAGATGCCAAAAACTATCTGAAAAATTATTTTCTAAGCACGAGCTAGATATGGCCATATGGTGACCGACGGACCAAAGTCACTCACGTATCCACCACTACATCTCACCATATACTCCAATAAGAATCATCTTCTGATAAGGTTTTAATGGTTTTATTAAAATTTGATGCAATTCCAAAAGGAATAAGTAATGTGTAGTGTTGAATTTGTTCAAAATTAAGTTACATGTTTAGTACCGAGTACTATTTACAAGATCATTCCTTTTCTTTTTTTTATTATCGCTAATCATTTTATAAAATAATATAGTAATGATACGTCTTGTGTAGAATTTTTGTTGTAAGTTTTAAATACGAAACTTTATTTTTGAATTTCAACTCATTTCTTAAATTAATTGTATTAAAAATAACTTAATCAAATATCATAAATTGAAACAAACAATTTAAATTGGAATGAAATAAGCACATAAAAAGTATGAAGTAATAAGAATGAAATGAAGGTAAGTAGTCAAGACACTCTTGCTCAACTTGCCATGGTTTAGTGGTTTCATATATGGTCTAGTCTTAGGAGTAATAATTCATAATTCATGACAGCTTGTCAAGTTTTTATCTTCTTCTAATGGGCAAATCCATTGACATATGCTAAATTTCACAAATATGTACTCTCCCCCGTCCCATTTTGCATGTTGTTTAAGATCTTTGATAAAAATTATTTTTAAATACTTTTTTATGAAATTTTTGGTACAATTAAAAAATAAAATTCATATATTAAAAAACTACATCAAAAGTTCTTCAAAAATAGAAGCGACATGACCATTTTATTTTATTAAATGATTAAAGTTTATCTTTGTGAATAATAAAAAAACAAATACAACCAAGCAGCAATTATCTATGCAACTAAATAAAGACTGTCTATACATGTCCATGAAACACATTGTCAAACTTGGTGTGTGTAACATGCTTCTCTCCTAATATCCTTCCATCCGTCCCAAAATTGGAGGCTAACTGCAGGGATGGATTGAAATTTTTCCCAATTGCTTTGGAGTTGAGGAGATGATAATTGGGATAGTACTCTCTCTGACTGAAATTATTTTTTCAATTCAATTTAATTAAAAAATAATATGACATAAAAAACAAAATTTATGTATTTATAAACAACATTAAAAGTTCTACAAATTGAGGTGATAAGACTATTATTTTCTCAAATAAGTAACAAGAATAAGTAAAGAACATGATTAAAACTTGACCATGCGAATTGTAAACATGCAATTAAAATTAGAATAAAGGGAGTAAGAAAAAGAGAATTCATTTGTAAAAAAATATAGATTTGACGTGCATGGGAGTTTGAATTAACAACAAATAATGATTCACAAATATCAATTACTATAATAAATCTTGATCAGATTCTTTTGTAAGCTTTATTTTGTTCTTGGTTTGTAGGTTTAGCACTTTGATGCAAGTGCTCTTACTAGTTCTATGATATAAAAATTAGAGGTGATTATTATACACACAGCGTGCAACAACTAGAATAAAGAATGAAGTAAACATGTAGCCTACCCAACACCAAGAAATAAATATTTAAAAAAGAAAAAAAAACCATGACATATCCGCGAAAAAGATGCAGCAAAACCAGAATGTTTCAACGGCAGGCTCTTCAGTTTTGCAAAAGGCAATGATATGATCGCCGAACACGTTTTCATCTCCTTGTTTTGAATCCTAAAACATAACAAACCATGCATGTTACCAAAAGAATGTCTAACCAGCGTAAAAGAGAAAGTGGATAGGAATGAGTTGTAGGGGGGACTAAATGGAAAGGGAGCACATTATCCCTTCTCTTGGTACTTACTAGAACGTCTCTTGTTTCTGCAGAACCTGCTCCCGCACTGGCATTTGAATGCTTTGATTGGGTGCTTCCGATGGCGAAAATCTATTCCATAGTCCTGAAAACACAACATAAATGTAAATGTTTCGTAAGATTAATGGAAAAAAATCATATGCACTAATGCATCTACTGCCCAAAACATCATAGAAACGAAGAAGCAAGAAAGGGTACCATTGTGATTTGGTCTATTATTTACCCAAGGCTAAAACATTATCATTAATGACTTTTTTTTGCTACATTGGAAACAGACACAGCATCAACCCAAATCCCAAAAATCATAACGAGTTTTCCTGTGCAAGACTTCCTCTAGGTGAGCTAGAGTGTGGAACTAGTTGCCCATTTGACAACAATAGCTTCAGTGCTTTGAAAATGCTGTCTAATAACACGGTGCGGTTCAAATGGCATTGAACCCAATGTCATAGCATGACTCGAGCCTCCTATGGTGCTCTGTTTGAAAAATTGATGGTTCTTACCCCCTAACCCTCCTCCCCATGCCTGCACCCCTTCCCCTTCGTTGATTGGCTACAGTAGTTGTAGCCAATCGGCGAAGGGGAGGGTGTGGGAGGTTGGGGGTGGCAGGGGCAGTTTAGGAGGGTTACAGGGGTAGAAACATAGCACCAAAGGAAGCTCGGGTCATGCTATGACATTGGAAGGCAATGTCACATAAACCGTGCCGTTAATAACAATATTTAGCTTTAATGTTTTCAAAGTTAATTTGCACCGTTAAAAAAACATCCAAAACGCTAATACTAAGTGAAAACGTTGTTACCAAAGAAGACCTAGAAACATATACACAACCACCATCACACCATCAATACCTACAATAATGGGATTAGTGAAAGCCAATTACTTGGCTAAGGTTAGTTCAACACTAAATTCATGGGTAAAAGGCTAAGTTTTAAGCGAGATGTCTTTCATGCTACGAATAATGGAATTAAATTTCAAAACCGTCATCATCATTGCTTTCCCACTAGAATGGAAAACGTTACGAGGCAAGCAATTGAGTTCAGATATACAATGTGGACATGTCACATTGCATGATTGATATTGTAAAATTAACACCATGCAACATGACCATAGCCATCTTTTATAAATCCAATGGGCCTCTTTTCAAAGGAAAATATTTTAATTTTGTGAACCCTTTTCATGACTCAAATAGTCTGCAGTACACATTGTTATTGCTCCATATGCCAATAACTTCAAAGAAATTATTGCTTCAATGATATACACATATATACTTAATGCTAATAAAGTACACGTGGCTTCAACTCACCCAAGTCAGCTCTTCCCTGGCTTTAACTACTCTTGTGGTGAAGAAGGCAAGCTGTATGAAAAAGAAACACGTGTAACAAACAAAAGGAACAATCAACTTATAGTACAGCAAAAATGAAAAATCTGGCTCATGAAATACAGCAATAATGAAAAATATGTGGCTCATGAAATGAAGTAAACCGAATCATAAAGGATAAGATTCAATACATGGTAGTAGTGATGATCTGGGGTCTCTATCTCAACAGGTATCTCAACCAAATTTGAATCAACACATCTGCAAATAATCAACAACATTTGCTAAAATTATGTATTGTAGTGTCGTGGTATGTGTTTGCTAGTGGAGTATTTATTTATTTATTTATTTATTTATATTTTTGTATTTGCTTACTTTCCTGCTAACCTACTTTGATTTCATCTCTTTTGAGCAGGGTCTATAGGAAACAGCCTCTCCCCCTCTCATGGGTGAAGATAAAATCTGTGTACCCCTACTTGTGGGATTACCTTGGATTTTTGTTGCACTAAAACATGTACACACTTATATCCAAAACAGCCCCAATAAACTAACAAAATGACCAACACAGCCCCTTATATACGAGTTTCACCTGTGGTTTATAAACCTTGCAACATTCCCATAATAAGTAGCATCCAAACACAGAGCTTCTTCATCTTTTAACACACCTTCAGCCGCCCAATCAGCATCAAGCAGCACGGGATAGGAGTGTTCCTCAGTACTAGAGCTCTTTAAAACACGGTCAAATAGTTCGGCATTTGTAAGAACCTCTCCCACATATTCACAAACAAAAGCACCTCTTGGCAAGTCCTCAAGAGTACGCAGGCCCCACCCTTTCCCTCCAGGTGTCATAAAGACCTGAAAATATATTAAATGAAGCAAAATTGGTGCAACGGGTTGGAGAAATTAGAGCACAACTGTTGGATCTGGGCGTAGGTTGTTTGAGGAAAAACAGTGGTTTTAGATGGAGAAGGAGTGATAGTCGATTACCTAAAGAGATAATCGATTATGGAAGGGTTCAGTTTCTCAAAGGATTTGGTGGAGAGTTTCTGAAGGGGTTGATAGTCGATTTACACAAATATGAAAATTGATTATTGGTGACTGCAGATGTTTCTTGTGAGTGGATAATCGATTATTCCAAGCTGGTAATCGATTATTGGGCAGTTTCAAGGAACAAAAAGGAAGTGTTTTAGTAACGGGGATAAACCAAGGAGGTCTAAGAGATATAACACACTCTTATCCTTTCTTGGGGTTGAACTCTAGATTTCAATTAAGATATAACACACTTAATGAAATACTAGAACCTAACACTCACACTTAAGGAAACCAACCTTAAGATATAGAAATTAGGATTTGAAAACAGAATACAATCAGTGTATTTCTATCTTGAAATGAAGAATACAATGTGTTTTCAAATGAGGCCTATGGCCGAAATAAATAACAAGGGAAAGGGGGAAATTACAAGCTTTGTTCCTTAATCAAATCACCAAAATATGACTTAATATGATATGCCTTGATGGAATGAAATAAAAGTGGAGTGTAGTGTTTGTGGGACTTGGGTATTTCGGCCAGTAGTAGGGGGGAAGAATTGAGGAAGCCAGGTTTTATTTTGAGAAGATGTTTATGGGGATTTGAGAGGGATGTGATTTGGCCATATTAGGGGACAAAGGGGTGTGAGATATATTGGCTAATTTGGTTTGTTATGGTGGTTGAAATATGGTGGTTGTGAAGTGGAAAGGGGCAGGCCAGGGATGGGGTAAAGAGGGGTGAGATATGGTTGTTTGTGATGGGTTTATACGTCCCACACATCTCAACAAATGGGATGTTTTATTCTTAGCTTTGGAGTGTAGTTGTAGGGCTTATTTGGTGGTTAAAATGGAGGGTGTGTATGCTGTTTGGGTAGGGAACAAAGGGGGTCCATGTGTTGGGGTTTATTATGGGGATGATATGTGTTGTTTTGGCTCTTGTGTTTCGGCCAGAATTGAAGGGAAAAGGATGAAATATTTGTGGGTCATTTTGGTGAGTTTAATGGGGTGTGTTTTT